TCTCTCTCTCTCTCTCTCTGCCAAACAAACATCACATCCCGTACTTCTCTATCAGTAATAATGTTTATAAATGCACTTAAATTACTGAAGACTCGTGTGTTTGAGACGAGGACTCAAACGAAATACTTATTTAGACTTTCATTAAATTCTAGCCTTTATTTTAAGCCCAAAAAAGTCAAACACTATTTTAATGAACCAAATTGAGAGAGAGAGAGAGATTTGTTTGCATTTACATCATATCATATTATTATTATTGCTTCTCATTTTAGTTTACAAACCAATTAATTGAATTTTAAATACCTAAGATTCTAAATGTTTTAATTTGTTATGCTAATTATTTTTAAGATAATATATTAAGTTTATTAAATCTGTAGCAAAATTTTATTAATACCAATTTTAATTATAAACTTGTATAAACTTTGTCCTCAAATGTCCTAAAAATGACAAAATGTTTTATATATTGTATTCAATGTTTCTTGATTAATTAATATGGATTAACATGAACAAGTTAACAAATACACATGCATATAATAACAATATTCAAAGTAAATATGGTTAAACCAAATCATGGTTCGTTAAACCACTTGGCAATGGTGTCGGCAAAGTTTAAGAGCTGGTGGTGAACGCGGCCAACATTGGCCAACACAGCGATCACTAGTCCGCTGTCCGTCCGAATCATTAACACATCGCTCGCACCGTCCGTATGACCGCTCTGTCCGAAAACGTGCGATACGTTCTCGCCGTCTGTTCCGTCAAACAATTGCCATCCCATGCCTTCAGTAAAAGTTACATATAATCCAAAATATTTTGTGTTTTTTATGTGATCATGGTCATTGTTTTATAATGATTATTACTAATTACCATTTGGTATTTGCTTTGCTGCGAGTTTTCCCGTTTGTGAGACTAATAGTTGATGAAATGTTGAAGAGTTCTTGGCCAATATATCTGTGTTGTTAGAGTTTAATTAATAAACAGTATCATTTCTTAATTTTAATATGAGAATATTAATAAAATTTACACTGTATCTACAGGAAATAAATTAGGTAACAATAATAGATACTTTAATAAACCTAGTCATAAAAAAATTGGATAATTGTTATAGATGTAAATTGGTTGAAGAAGGTTTGCAGCTAAAATTTTAGCTCTACTAGGTAACACCAAAATCATACAAAAATATCTATGTATTCAGCATTTTTTTTAGTAAACTCTTTGAAATGTCTTTAATAGAAATGCAACCAAACGTATATATCAGTCATACCTATAAATCATTAGTTTTTTACATCTATTTATTTATAAATTTCATAAATAAATTATTTGCAAAATATATGTAAAGATTCTAATCATATGTGAAATACACTGAAATTGTAAATCATTGCCAATGATATGTGTTTTTATGATTTATATACGATTTGGAGAGAGAGAGAGAGAGAGAGAG